GGGACCGTGGGAGCCGTGAGTCTGCGGAAAGGAAGGGGATGGGCCCGGGCCCGGACTCCGGGGTCCCCGGCGAGGAGGCAGCGGGGGGGCCTGGGTTTCTGGGTTCCTGGAGCAGGAGGAGGGGGCTGGGAGCGTAGGCTCCTGGGTCCTTGGAGGAGGATTGAATCCAGGACCTGGATTCCGGGGTCCAGAAGCGGGAGGCCGGGGGACACCTCCTGTTTGTAGCGGGAGGAGAGCCGGGGCCTGGGGCTGGGAGGACCGGAGGGCGAGGTGCCCGCGGCAGCGGAAGGGTTAACGTCTGGCTGGAGGGGCGGGGGAGGGGCGGCAGTGGGGCTGCGGGGCTTCGAGGGGTCAAGGGTGAGCCGTGCGCGGAGGAGGGGGCCGAGGAGGAGGGGAGGCTGTCTGGACTTCCAGACAGGCCAGGGTCACCGGCGGGGGCCGGGATGTCTGGCGGAGGCGAGGCCCCGCGCCCAGCCTCCCCTGGGGACCCGGGATTCCAGGCCCCGGCCCACTCCCGCCGCAGACCTGGGAGTCCGCCACCAAGCCCCCCACCCGAATTCCAGACCCGAACCGCTAGGCCCCTTTCTTCCAGGACCCAGGAGTCTGGGCCCGCCTCTTAGACCTGAGGGTCTACACCCCACGCTCACCCGCTTCGAAACCCGAGTAGGAACCCCGGCGCCCTCCCCTAGAACCCCGGCGTCCAGGCCGACGTCGGTCCCCGTCACTGCCTGGACCCGGGCAGGCCCCCTCCCCCGGAACCCAGGAGTCCCCACCTTCCCGTCGCCCCAGCTGGAGTCCAGCCCTCCGGGGGTTAAGGGGGCGGGGCCCGCTGGTTGCCATGGTGCCAGACTGTTTGGGTCTGCTCTCTGACCCTTGGGGGCTCCCCAGGGTCCCGGGGAGGGGGAGGGGGACCCCGGCCCGGGGGAAGTCCAGCGCCCGCCCCTTCCCCCGGGCAGGCCTGCGGACCCCGCGGTTCGCGCCTCCGCCGCCGCCTGGCCCGGTGACCTTGAACAAGGCCTGACCCTCCTCTCGGCCTCAGTTTCCTCGGGGAGGACCCGGCGGGGGCGAGGGAGATGCTCGGTCCCGGAATCTTCAAGATTCCCCGCTTCCCCCGGCCGCCCCCCCTCCCCAGGCCCCAGGCAGCCCCGGGGCATGCCGGGG